TCCTGCCCTGTAAGGTACAGCAGCAGCAGCAAGATTCACTATCGCATCTTTTTGCTTTCACCTGGTTCTTTATTGTTCTTCCATCCAGCAGAGATGAGTTTCATGTCCTCCAGAACGTAGGCAATTCTAATTTAAGCTTTAATGAAACAGTTTTACATACTGTAAGCCCTTCAACAGCTTCACCTTCAAGTTAAAGGTCTGCCTCAAAGCTCTGGCTTGCAGATTCCCATCACATCACCTTCGATGACTGTAGGCACTGTTGTTTTCCTGCTTGGCTTTCTGGCCTAGCCTCAGGATTTTGCTCTGGGCCTTCCTACGTGGGCTGTGGTTAAGTTTTTTTTAATCCTTTCAGGTTGTCTCTCATCCAGTCAGTTAAACCTTTCATACAGGCCGATGCCACCTTGTTTCTGTGAGCAAAATATCCTTTTTGATACACATGATCTTACCGTCTTAAAGCTGGTCCGAAAATTTTTGCTGTGATAATTTATCACTTTCACCATGCTGCCCTAATTTTGCGGGTTTAAATCTGTCTTGGCTCCCTCTTATCTTTACAAAACGTGTAAGCTTTTCAAACGAAGGCTTAAAGCTTCTCGGGAGAGCCTTCATCTCTTGTGAAGCAGCAGAAAAGACTGACTCCACCTCTGCTTTGCCTATGATATCAGACTTGACTACTGGCCTGTTATATTTTCAGGTGTGTAAATGTGTTTCCCATCACAGAAAGCGATCTCATTGTCTTTCTTGGTACTTAACCCTTGACTTTTGGGTCGTGATGATGCTTGCAGACATCTGAGTGACCTCTTTGGGCCTGCTGTTGTGCTGGCTAACATCATCGCCTTGTTCCCTCGAACTTCTTCATCTGCCAGAGCTCCAGTGACGGTTTGTATTTCAGTCATGTATTTCAGTCTTTGGCATGAGCAATGAAAGTTCATCGTACTGCCATCCTGACCTGCACGAATACATCTTTCCCAGAATATTCTGAGTTGGAAGGGACCCACAAGGGTCATAGAGTCCAGCTCATAAGTCAGTGTCCCTATGGGGATCCAACCCACAACCTTGGCGTTATTAGCACTGTGCTGTAACTTAACTGAGCTAATCTCATGTTCTAAGCAGCAATAGGAGGGAACTGGTGTCAGTCCCAAGTATCTAAAAGACAGCTCCTAGTTGTCTGAGCGGAGAACAGATGGATCCTTGCAGATGTTTAGCTGAGATCTATCTCTGTATTGCTAAAGCATCATGCACCATTCTGGCACGATTTAAAATAATCCCAAATGATAAGAACAATAAAATCCCAAACATTAAGCCCTAGAGATTTCCAGTGGAAGTTAGTGAGTGGCAGCTCTGAATCCTTTGCTAAAATTCACTCGGCTATCATGGTGTGAAGCCTTCCTGCCTGAGGATCCTCCTTCTCTCAAAGAAGGGAACAAATAGCATTGGTGATACAGTTTTTTCAGGTGGTGAAGGAAAAGGCAGTGACAAGAGCTGTCTGCTTTCTGAATGCCGTACAGTAATCAGGAAAGGAGAGAGCTGTGAGAGAGAAAGGGAGACAACGTGGGAAGAAACTCTGTGAAATGTTTTTTTCTTGATATTTACTGATTACAGTTTTTCTATGTGAAGATGTTTGAAGTCAGTTTTCTTTACAATCAGATGTCATCTGTAATTTTCTTTTGTCTTCTTCTTTCCTACTTTCCCTGTTAGGGATTGCAACTGCATTTTTATGGGAGGAAAAAAATAATCCTAAAGTAACTTTTCTGATGTTTGCTAGCATTAGATGGACTAATCTGACATAAATAAGAGGCAAGTTCTGCCCACAGATAATAAAATAACTAGTTTACCTCACCTCTTTTCTACTTATTCGTACAGTCATGCTTGTATTTTGATGCCATTATTTTATCCAGATGATTACATGTGACTGTTGTTTCATTTGTTTGGGATTTTTTCATCTTGGGGGATTTTCTTTTCTCTTTTCTTTTTTTTTTTTTTTTTTTTTTTTTTTTTTTTTTTTTTTTTTTTTTTTTTTTTTTTTTTTTTTTTTTTTTTTTTTTTTTTTTTTTTTTTTTTTTCCCCTCCCCAGATTAATGTATTTGTGTAGAATCAATGCTGGAAATACAAGAGACTGCAATTTGTGGAGAATTTGGCCTTCTGGGCTGCTTTAAAATGATGCCATTTGTTCCATTGGCATCAATATACAGCAAAATCGCAACTTACAGAATTAAAACTTAGTGATAAATTTATCATTCCCATTAAAACTGCTCAAAGTCATGCTGAAGCTGAAAAAAAAAATGTTTAAGTCTAATTTAATTTTAAGGTATGCAGTTAATTAATACTCCACATCCATTAACATGCAAAAATGAAAGTATCTGCAGAACCACTGTTCCCTGGAGTAATTTGTCATCAAGAAATAAAACGTCTGCCTTTGAACTGAGGTAGCTTCTGGGTAGTGCTGTGAGCGGAGGAACCCATGTTAATGATACAGACTAACCCAGAAGAGTGAGCTTCAGGTTTGTTGCATTCATATCTCACCACTATAAAACCAATTCTACTTGTGTCAGGTACTGTTGTGACAGCAGATGCCTTCTTTGCTAAGTGACAGAAACCACCAGCAATTTCAAATTACTGACTAGAGCGTGATAGTTGTGCATGTCCAAAAGCACTTCCCAGATTAGAAAATGTTCACAGCATGTCACTTGATAAAAAAAAAAAAAAAAAAAAAAGCTGCTTTTTCTGTGTACATGGGATATTGGTTCTTTATACTGTGATGTGAACTCTCTTTTCAAGCAGTGAATAAATGTTAGAAAGAGGTAGCAAAGACATGATGAGATGCACAGCAAAGGCAACTCCACCTACTTCGTTCCCCCACATGCCTCCTTCTCTTCCTCTCCCTCTGGTGTAGCCTTTTGCATTATTAGCTTCAGTCCTGTGGCACTTACTACAAGGTGTGGCATTCCCACTGCAGCTATTTTTGCTGATAAACCCTGTTTAATGCAGTAAGTGAGGATTTGGGTCAGCGGATTGTCAGCATTGTTGGGCAGCGTTTGCCAAGTGACAGCATATTCTAG